TTTGTTGTCTACAGAGATAATGATCTTCTGCTCAGGGATCCCAGGCACAGGGGGTGTACTGTGTAATTTCAATTTTTACAGGATTTTATCGGTGGCAATTTTCCGAGGCAGGTCTAGGTATCATTTGGACCTAAAGGAATTCACTTCAGACAGATGTAGTGTTTTCATTTCCATTTCTTCTTTTGAGCATTTTTTCTTTTTTTTAAGTATATGGTACCTGCGTTTTAGGTTTCCTTAATATGCACCAAAATAAAGTTTTATTATGCTTGATTTGCACTGTGCCATTTCTTCTGAAAGTTGGAAGAAAATCTTTGAAATTCCACTGTCCTATCCAGTGACCACTGAGAACTAGAAGATTACTTATTACATTCTAGATTACCTTTTCATTAAATTTGTCTTCCTTGGGCTTTCCACGGGGAAAGAGAAAGGCTCCCTGGCCAATTTAAAAGATTTCAGGACACCTGTGAATTCTGGCCCTATTGGGTTTAAATGAATTTTAATTATGTGTGGCCCTTTCAAATTAATCAGGCTCAAAATTGTGGATCATAACAATAAGAGAGACAGGTCTAAAGAGAAATGGTGAGAGAACAAGCTGCTGATTTTCCACACACCAATACTAGGAAGGGGCCAACAGGAAACACTGGGATGTTCTGATAAATCACCCAACTGTTGGCTGGCAGTCACAAAAACCCAACACTAACTTCTGTCTCACAAGCTGCAAGCTGACAGGATGCTGTGGTTAAAACACACTGACTCTATCAGGCTGCTCAAGACAAATCCCCCCTTGCTTTTAAACACATGTTAACCACTTCCCAGGGGGCAGGGCCCACAACATTTCTCAGGTGCTGACTAAACCACTGTTGACTCCAAAAAGGCTCCCAGAAGGGTACATGGTGAAATCTATTTAGCTAACTTTGACAGATTTAGTTCAGACCCTCCCTTCAGAAGTTGTGACATTTCTATGGTGAAACCACTGTCTCTAGGTCCTGCAGCTCTGTGCTTGGATCTCAGGAGCACACACTTAGTGGGGAAAAGCACGGTAGTCTTGTTATTGTTTCCTAGGCATCCCAAGAGCCAGATGGACATGTGGAGCAAGCTGACAGCAAATCTCCCTTGAGACAGCCCCCTTCCTGTCCCAGTTAAACAGGCCATACTCCACCTCTGCAGCCTGGGTGACTCAGCCACAAAACCAGGCTGCTCTCACAGCACCCTTCTGCTACTCTGTTGCTCCCTTTTCACTCTGGCTCCTGAGCCTGAGTTGACTTCTCTGCAGCTAGTGCCCAACACCTCTATTTCCCTCTCTGGGGCAAAGGAGGTGGAAAACATGCTGGTTCAGTGCAAGGGTTTGTAGGGAGAGAGGCATCCATGGGAACAGGAGAGTTCCCGCTGCAGTTCCCGTCTCCCTGCAGACGTGGACAGATAATGCCAGACCAGGCCAAAGCTTGGTGTTCCCTGTGCTCCAAAGGCAATGGATGGAAAGGTGGGAAATGCTGTTGGAGCAGGCCCTGCTCTATGAGGACCATGATTTTCCCTCTTCCCAGCTCTTTTCTCCCTTCACTTGGCTTTTCCCTGGAGCTGTGGTGTGCCAGCACAGGCAGCCAGTGCCTCCCTTAGTCCCTGAATGCCCAGGACTGGACACAGAGAAAATAACAGGAATATGGAAATCCCTGCACTGGGGGCTTGTGGTGCTCTGGATTAAATCTTGGATTTATAATGTTAAAATTGTGGGTGAGGTGAGGCGTGGGGTCTGAGGAGTGACAGCAGGGAGGGGTGGGAATGGCGGGGGCTGTGGCTATAAAAGGAGTGGATGGGGTGGTGTCACTTGATCAGTTTTTGGGGTCACAGGGAGAAATCCAGTGCTGCATTTGCAGGGCTTGGAACTGAGCCCAAGTCCTGTTATTTGAGGCTCACAAGCAGACACCCAGTGCTGTGTTTTGGGGGCTCAGAACCGGGCTCACGCCGAGAATTTTTAGGGTATTGGACAGGTGTTACTGTCTTCTCTCTTACCTTTTGCATTATGTGATTCTCCCTCGATCAGAGAAGGCATAAAATGGAGTAGGATGGGGAGCTCATTTCGTTTCTGTGAGCTCCAGGCTTGAGACAGCTGCAGAGCATTTTGTTTTCAAATATTCCTACCAAACACAGTAAATTTTAAGCTCCTTTGGGCACTTTTGGATCCTACTGTGCTGCTTCTCCTCTGATCTTTTACCTGGGAAGTGTGGGCTCAGAAGCACCTGCCTACTGGATGGGTTTTTATGCTTCCAAATTTTTTTTCTTAGAAAAGCAATCAGATCTGCCTGCAGGACAGGAGCTGGTGGAAGAGGGAGGGAACTTCAACCATTTGGGGGGCTTCCCTGTCTTTATTTTTCTAGCAGAACCCCTTTTTTTGGGGGGGAGGGGGGTAATGTACTTATGTCAACGGTATTATTAAAGACACGTGCTGCTGTCCACATTTTGGGTGAAAAAAAGGGAGGGGATTGGAGCCTGGGGGTTGATGATCACATTTGGGACACTCCGATGTCACTGGGAGAGCAATGATGCAGTGGAGGAGGAGATGAGTGGGGAATCAAGGGGGTCAGGTGGGATCTCCCCAGAAAGGGAGGTTACAGCCCAAAAATGCCAGAAAATTCATAGGGAGTGTGTGTGGAATACTAAAACCTTTAAAGTTTCTAATTTATATATATATAAACAAATATTATTAATTAGTATAAAATTATTTTAAAATAAAACCCTGCACATGCTATATTATATACAGGACTTTAGGATATAAGAAATTCCGAATACGGACCTATAGGGTTTGAGAATACAAATGTAACTTTTGAATATATATATATATATAAACTAACAAAGGGCTGGAAAATGCAAGGAAAGATGCTCGATATGAAGGCAATAGGAAGAGCTCTGGGTGTTGGGAGGTTTTTTTTCTGTCCCCTCTCGCAGTCCCAGCTCGGGACCTCGGCTGGGAGTGAAATCGCCGCTGTGGTGAAGGCGAGGTACTGCAAGAGTTTGGTGACTCGCGGGTGACGCCTCCTGACCGAAAGCGGCAACATCGACGTTCTCTGAGATGGAAAAGGAGGGACAATTTTGGGGTAAAACCTGAGTTAGTCAGGGATGTTTTAGGGAGTAATATCTGACTTCGTGTATAGAGGACAGAATGAAGGTTTCTGAGGGGAAAGCAGAGGCAAATTGCGAGGGGGAGCAGCAGTGGCTTTTTCTGACAGAGATGCTGCGGTAATTTAGAGGAAACAAAATCACGGTTTTTTCAGGGTGAATTCAGGGGTACTTTGGAGTTGAAAAAAGAGCCTTTCTGAGAGAAAGCCTGGGAACTCAGAGAAGACAGAGGCAACATTTTGGACAGAAAATCTGGGATTACTCAGAGAGGACAGAGGTGACACTTTTAACTGAAAACCTGACATAATTTAGAGGGGACACAACCACTGTTTCATGTCGGGAAGTGTGAGGTGATGTAGAGGGGAGAGAGATGGCATTTTGGTGTCTCATGTGCAGAAGATGGGCACTCCATGGGCAGCAAAACCTTTCTGTTCTGTTCCTTTGACTGGGAGGAATCTTCGGCCGTATTCAATTTTGGGAGGCAGACTCACAATTTCAGCACAATGGGAGTTGTACAATCCTCCTCAGCTCCAAGTCCTAAAGCCTGACAACTCAAACCTCTTCAAATTATTTACCTCGGTGCCAAGTTCTGGAATTGGTGCAAATATGCTGCTTAGTTTCAGATAACCTAATTTCGTAAGAAATGGTGACAACCAGGAAGCATCCACTACAAGTAAACTCTGGCAGTGTTTATTTGAACTGAGGTCAAATAAGGATGCAATCTGACCCACACTTTTTGACACTGAACTTCTTCCATAATAACAATGAAGGGGGATGCAGCACAGACTGTTGGGGCCATGGGAACACTAACTAGTTATCCATATTTTCCACCCTGACAATGTTTCTGTCTTTCTAAGGTATCTGGTAATTGTCATTCTCTTTTATTTGAATAATCTTTTGAAGGACCAAGACTTTGGTGATTTTACATGCAAGTCCTTTGCAAGCATGTATTCATATAAATAGTATTGTTAAAGTGTTGCTTTTCTGTGTTTTTAATAACAAATAAGCTCCACACATGCTAAATTGGGTATTTGGGAACATAAAGCAAACTTGAGATATTTTTTCCCCTCCGTGTTATAAACTCCTTGTCACGTGCTCTGCAAAATGGCATGATCAGGATTTTGAGAATTAGTGATGCGATTCTTCGCTCCAGCCTCAGTTTATTCAGCTTCTTGTTTATGAGTGTTATGGAGAAAAGATTTGCAAAGAGCATTTTTAGATAAACTGAAGTGGGACTCCAACATGAGCTATCCAGAGAAGGGCAATGAAGATGGTGAAGGGTCTGGAGCACAAGCTTGATGAGGAGCAGCTGAGGGAGCTGGGGGGGCTCAGCTTAGAGAAAAGGAGGCTCAAGGGGGACCTTCTCACTCTCTGCAACTCCCTGACAGGAGCGTGGAGCCAGGTGGGTGTCAGGCTCTGCTCCCAGGGAACAAGGGACAGGATAAGGGGACAGAGTCTTGAGCTGCGCCCCGGGAGGTTTAGGTTGGACGTTAGGAAGAATTTCTTCACAGAAAGGGTGATTAGACACTGGAATGGGCTGCCCAGGGAGGTGGTGGAGTCACCGTCCCTGGGGGTGTTTAAAGGACGACTGGAGGCGGCACTCGGTGCCATGGTCTGGTTGACACGGCGGTGTTCGGTCACGGCTTGGACCCGGTGGTCTCAGAGACCTTTCCCAACCTAATCCGTTCTGTGGATATCGGCACTTCCCAGCTGCTCACCGGCCTGGGAGCCGGGCGCGCGGGTACGTTATTAATTAACACCACAGCAGCGAGCGCTACAAAGCAGAATTCTCTCAATGAGCGCGGGCGATGAGAACAGTTCCGCCCCCTCAGGCCCCGGGGCCGGGCCCGGGCGGTGTCAGGGCGGATCGGGCGGGGCCGGGGGCGGCGCGGGGCGAACATGGCGGCGGCCGAGGCGGCGGCGCTGAGGGTGTCGCGGCAGGAGAGGGAGCTGCGCTGGCTGGCGGCCGAGGTTGGGCGGCTGAAGGAGCCGCAGGAGCCGCGCTGCTCCGGCACCGCCAGCCCCGAGCTGCAGCGGCTGCGGGCCGAGAACGAGAAGCTGCGCTACCGCCTGCTGCACCTGCGCCGCAGCCTGGCGGCCGAGCTGGGCCGGGCGGCGCCGGCCGAGCCCCCGGGCGGCGCGGAGGTACAGCCCGGGGGCGAGCGGGGGGCTCTGGGGCGTCCGGGCCCCGGCGGAGAGGGAAGGGGCGGGATAGGGGCGTTCACGGACCCGTCAGCAGCCCGCGGGGGCCGCGGTGCTCACGGGGGTGCGAGCCTGTCGCGGTGTCCGCCCGCAGCACTGAACAGCGCTCCTGCCTTTGCGCGAGTGTCGCAGAATCTGAGAGTGGGTTGGGTTGGGATCGTCTCGTTCCAACCCCTTGCCGTGGGCAGCGACACCTTCCACTAGACCAGGTTGCTCAGAGCCCCATCCGACCTGGCTTTGAATACTTGCATGGATGTGGCACCCACAGCTTCTCGGAGCAACCTGTGCCAGGTGTGACAGCGCTGAAAGTTGTCGCTGGTCAGTGCTTCCACGGTCTCTCTGGGGAGGTTTTGCCACTGGTAGTTGTAGTAATGCCATTGGGCACTACTTTACCTGGCCACTTTACCTGGCAAGCGGTTTTGCTGTGTCTGCAGAACATCAAAAAGATGCAGCTTAGATGTGTCATGAGAAGTCTTTGGGCTCAGGACATAACTTATTCCCCTGGAATTGCCTTTTTAGCCCAGCGTTGTACTGGTCTGGTTTGGTTTAATGGTTGCTGGGAAAAGTCTTAAAGGCACAGCAGGTGTATACTTTGTATTATCACTGTTTCAGAAAGTCTGCAGTGCAAGTCCAACTGATGCAGTGAATCACAATAAAGAGGAAAAGAAAAAAGAAAATAAAGCTGTGAATCAACATCAGAATGATGTAAGTGGTTACTTTATACTACATAATAATAGAAGGAGTGTTGTTTGACCAGGTTCAGAAAGGGTGCTCAAATCTGAAATACTTTGCTGTATTTTGAAATCCCAGCTTTTGGGAAAAAGGCTTTCTATAGCATAGAGGAAAAAAAACCACATTATTTAGGAGCTTCATCTTCTATTAGTAGGGTTACTTACACATTCTTAGATCTCTACTTTTTATGTAAGAAAAGGATTGGGGTTATTGGGAAATAAAGGTCATAATTCTGCAGTTCCTAAAGAGAGTGAAGATTCATGAGCAGTTAAACAGCATGATGGCTGAAAGGATGTTGGCAACACTGGCTGTAGTGTTGAGCTTAATAACTCACCTTATGTTAAACTAGAGTAACCTTCACATGAACTGTCTTCTTTGAATCTGATGCTTGGAATGGACTGGCAGAAGTAAGGGCTTGTTGGAGTGATTCAGATTTCTCTAGGACATCTGCTAAATGCAAATTCTGGGGCAGGAATATAGGCTGCTTTCTGAGGTCAAACCCACAAAGCCACTTAGGCCCAGACTGATGAAAGTGCATGGAAAATTGGAAAGCCACTATAAAACAGACAGAAAATTGGATGAGACTATCCTGTGTATAATTATTTACAAATGCTTTACTGCATTTTAGTATAAATTCTAGTACAGTGAAATCTGGTCCAAGCTGGGACCTCTGGGGGTGCACCAACACTGTGAATCCTTTATTTCTCTCACAAGTATGTATGTGTATAATCTAATTTATTTGTTACAGGTGCAGTGTGTGCCAAGCTTCATAGAAGACAGACTGAAGCTTTATGAAGCACTGAAAAAAGAACATGATGCTTTGCTAGCTTACAGAGCAGCCAATGAGAGCAAATCTATCAAAATTACTCTGACAGATGGAACAGTGGCTGAAGGGGAATCTTGGAAAACCACGCCATATCAATTAGCTGTAGGAATTAGGTAACCTGCACATTCAAGGAGCTGTACTTTTGGAGTGATAAAACTGTTACTGTCATTTGTGTCTTACCTTGTGAAAAATATATGTCATGGTCAGTGGATGGTGACTCTCTTAAATTTGTTTATTTGGAAAGCATTGAAACTTCAGCTTAATGCAGAATAAACAGGTGCTTGAAATTACTGTTCTGAGTGATGCTTGAGGTTCGTAATGCTTGGGATCATAATGCTTGCTTACAGTTAAAGAGTAAATCAGTGAGAGTGCTAAAAATTAACAGAGACATCTGAAGTTCTGTGAGTTACCAGATACAGTAGAACCTGTTGTATGAAGCAGTCTTTCCTCCAGATCCCCAGCACTGAAAGCTGTGGAATGAGACTTCTCAAGACCTTAAGGTTTTTTACCTTAAAAGTGGAAAAGTGTTTAAGACCACCACAGAAACAAAAGTTTAAGGTCTTCAGGTGCTATGAGATGTGGGTGTGATCTCACGGGGTTTAGAAACCTAAGGTCTTTTACAAATTGAACCTAAATCTTCAGGTCTCTTGTCATCTTTTCTGGTTTTTTAGTCAAGCGTTGGCCTCGAATGCAGTCATAGCCAAAGTGAATGGTGAGCTGTGGGACCTGGATCGTCCACTGGAGGGAGATTGTACTCTAGAGCTGCTGGCCTTTGATGATGAAGAAGGAAAAGCTGTGAGTAAACACTTTCTGGTTTCTGCTTGATTAGAAGAACTAATGACATAAAATTAATTGCAGCATTAGTCTTTTAAAATCTTGAAATTAAAAAAAAAAAAGGCAGCAAAACTTTCAAGTAATGTATTTCCCATGATTCAGTAAAGAAGATGAGATAGTAATCTGAGTGTGCCTATAATCTGAGAGTGAATAAAATCTTAGTGTTCTTTTCATCCTTCTCTTTTACATAAACAGGTTATTTCTCAAATGAGATCATACAGAACATCTTGATTTATATGCTTACTTGAAATAGTTTCATGTCTTCTAAGATGTGTTTTGTGGTTTGACTCAGTGCCTCTGAAGATCAGACAGTGAAAGCAAAGTAAGACTGTCTTACCATTTTCTAAAAATTGTCCAATATTATATTTGAATCATTAATAAAATCTTCATCTCCTTGTACTGGCACTGTTTAATAAAACCTTAAGTAGTCATATGTGAGTCAATTAAACTATGAATATTCTTAGCAACATGCCCAAGATTTTATTTTAATGGGGTTCAATCTGAAACCTTTGTTTATACGCTAGAATTAGACTTCAGTTTTGTCAAGGAATTATTCATGTGATTAAGCTTGTCTGAGGCATTTCATGTAAAGGCTTTATCTTGTAGCAGTGGCTCTCAATTAGTCCAAATTAATAGAAACTTAAAACATAAGGGTGGTATTGATCTACTGGGTTGTTGGCTCCCCTCTGCTGACATTTCAGGTAATGTACTTTACAGACCTATTAATAAGTGTACTGAATGTGAACAGTGGAAGCTTAATTGGCTACGTTGTTTTAGGTCTGATTAGTGTTGCATAGACTTTGACTGACTGGAAACTAACTTAAAAATGACCAAGGTACAGTAAGTACCAAGTTGATGGGGTAGCACACAGGTATAATCACGATCTTTCAGACTGAAGTATGGTGGGCCTTTATTGCTACATCTGACATTATATCAGTCATTTAAAGTACTTCAAAATGAGAACAGAAAATTGTTTTACCTCTCTCAAATTTTAAACAACCTTAGTTCCAGTCTATTTCCCATCTGCAGATATATTTAATGGTTTGGTTTTTTTCTTTTTAGTTACACAATGCTGTTGACCCCTTGGCTTGCTCACCTGACTTTATTTGCAGGTTTATTGGCATTCAAGTGCTCACATCCTTGGAGAGGCCATGGAAGGATATTTTGGGGGCTGCTTGTGCTATGGACCACCAATTGAGAATGGATTTTATTATGACATGTATATTGAAGATAGGTAAAATTTCAGTGTCTTAGAACTTTTATACTCTGTATTGAAGCTCAGTACTAGAATTATTTTCTTCTGTCAAGTTTCTGCATGTTAAAAGTAAAATTGAGTCTCTGATATGATTTGAAGCTGACAGGTTAGTCTTCTGTGTAGACACATAAATTGAGTGTGTGTGTATATTTAAATTCAGGAGCACTGTTCAGACACCTGTTCTCTAAGATTTGCAGCTGTTCAATGTTCTGTGGAAAAAATGTAGAGTGGGTAAAACTTTGTGAACTTCTGGGGACACAAAGGAGATGGAAACCAAACCCCCATGATTCTTCAAGGAAACCAAGTCACTTGTACCAAGGGCACATGTGCATGTAACTTGTATAAGTGTTTACTACTTTTCTAATCCTTGTGCACAGCTTTACAATTCTGTTTTTTCCTTGTTTATCTTTCTGTAGTCAGGGAGAATACTGAATCTGCATCAGCTGATAAACAGACTCCTGCAGCTGGGTTGAGCTTTTTCTCCCCTCCTTTTTTTTTTCCCCCTAAATCATATGTATACATCAACATGAAGGTCTTCCAGACATTTAATCATGTCAAAGACTATTTTAGGAATGATTGCAGTGGGTTTGTTTGGGGTGCTGTTGTTTGTGTTTCTGAGTTTAGTGTCTGAAAATAGAGCTGATTGGAAGAAACTAAGAAAATACTGTGACAAATCGCAACAACATGTTTTTATGGTTTCAAATTAGCCCACTAGAAAGTGGTTAATTGAAAAAAATGGGAGTGTCAAAATAATTAATTTATATTTCTTTTACCTGTGTCTTTTTGTTTAGAGGTGTGTCTAGCACTGAATTCCCACTACTAGAGAACCACTGTAAAAATATCATAAAAGAGAAACAGGCTTTTGAAAGGCTGGAAGTCAAAAAGGAGACTCTGTTAGACATGTTTAAGGTAAATCTTTTGAGTAACTGTGGTTCTGGTAAAATGATCTTTTAAAATGTAACTTTTCTTAAAATTCTGCATGGGACTGACTTATCAGAATTTTACCTGTCTAGTAAAACAAAGAAAAAGAATACCATCGTTTTCCCCCTCTATTTCCTCTCAAATGTTCAAAATGTTTTCAGGCACCAATAAAACCGATTTTTAATACACAAAACCACCTCAGGTTCAATGAGATGACAGATAAGTACACAAAAGGCACACATTCCTTCTGGCTTACTTGCAGAGATGGTTTAGCCCCCTGTTTTATACAGTGAATATTGCCAGTCTCACTGTACTGTGTAATTCAGGTGGTACTCGCCATCCTCAACACACCCTCAGGGGACTGAGATCTTTTTGTCCCTCCCCTTGTTTTACAACTCTTCTGAAAGGATGTTGAACTGTTGATTACAAGCTTTTTTTTTTTTTTAGTTGCAAGTATTTATTACTGATGCACTTGCATTATTAATACATCATTTTAAAAGATTTTGTTATCCATTTTATTGATATTTCTGACTTTTCATGTTTCCACACACAGTATAACAAGTTTAAGTGTCGTATCCTTAATGAGAAGGTGAAGACACCAACTACCACGATATACAGGTAAAGAAATATACTTCAGAAGTATTACAAAGTTTTTTTATACTTAGTTTATTTAAACTGAGAGGAGAATAAATTGGTTTTTTGGTTTTTTTATTTTATTCTGACTTCTGAATTCTTGTGTGATTGGGACTTAAGTTTGCAGTTAACATCGCTACATATGTAAAATGAGATCTTTTCTCTGCTGGGACAGATTAGGTCTCAATTTGTGGGCAAATGGCAAATCCAGCTTTTAGTCATTCCCTCTGGTTTCAGTAAACTGATTAAAGTAAGTTACCACCCTTGACACTGGATTGGTGCATAGTGGATAACACTAACTCTTAGCTCATCGTGGGATGAGGAACCAACTTATTCAGTTGCTCGTTCCAATCAGTTGGAAGATGGAAAAACCATTTTTCTGTTTGATGTGCATAGTTTGAAGTCTCCTGGGTCACTTTAACATTAAGTTCACATGTGGAACTATATGAATTGGTGTTCTGATGCTCTTGATAATAGATCAACTGTGCTGAGCATTTACTGAGTGAATATCCCACTTCAGGTGGAATGCACAGCTGCATTTAGGGTGCACTGAGCTTGCTGCATGTTGCATATTTGTATTTACTGCCATGTTGGAATGTGTCAAGCATGAACTTGTCACATTAGTGACTGTACAGAAAAATGTTGGAGAGTTTGGAAATGAACACTTTTTTTCTCTTGGTATATAGATGTGGTCCACTGATTGATCTCTGCAGGGGTCCACACGTCAGACACACTGGAAAAATAAAGGCTCTTAAAATAGTTAAGGTAAGTTAAAATTAAGTGTGCATTGAAACTGAAATAAAATAGGGTACAGTTGATTTATTTATATATTTATTTCTCCTGAGCTGATTGTGCCAGGGTCCTTTTATTATTTTCTTTGTTTACCCTGAAAATAGTCCTTCATTTGTTTGCCAGCTCCCACTGAAGCTTTAATCATTTGTCTGCATCCAAGGTTTACTGATTCTTGACTTTCATGGTAGCACATCAGTGAAAGTTAGCAGCATCTTTTTTTATCAGAGTATTAGTGTAGTAACATGCATGTTTAGACTGAAGAGTACTGCAAAACCACTGTAGCTAGTAGTGACTAGATTAGCTCTGGAACCAATTGTCCCATGCCCAGTAGAGAAGTGCAGAGCCTAAGCCCATGTGGCTGTGCTGCTCCAGTATCTCCAGCCATCACTGCACCTGTGTCCTGGTTGGAGTCTGTACTGGCTGTCACCTGTGTGTGAGGGGTGTTGTGAGCATGCTCTGTTCTGCAGTAGATGAGCATCCAAGTATTTATTGGGTCAGAAAGTACTGTTTTGACCTCGTCAGATGGTGCAGGAGGTGAAGTGGACGCTGGCAGATCTGCAGGTGCTGCTGTTAAAAGAGGGCATTGCTTACAGGAAAGGCAGAGGCAGTGTTGGCAGAGGCCTCTGGTTTTGTGGTGTAGCTTAAGTTATTCACAGATGCTAATTTTGGTAACCTTATTAGACTGACCTCATCAGAACATTAATCATAGTTGCTTTTGCTGGCTTCCTAACTGAAGTGTATGGAACTCTGAATTCCAGGGATTACATATTAGATTGTCAAAACAGCTCAGAATTAACTGTGAGAGTTAGGTTTGTGTCTTTCATGTTTCCCCACTGCATTATGTTTTGAGTGTAAACAAGTGCTGCTTTTTTAGCTGCTATAGCATGAAATAATAAAACATGATGTAAGTTGAAACAAGGTACCTAAGTAGAGTAAAAATATTCCTTGACCAGTCACTTTTGTTTGTCATCTGTATTAATATGCTGACCGAAAGGCACTGCAATATCTTTGTGTTATAAACAAAGGCTGAAAGACTGCATATGAATCTTCTCCCAAGGAAAAAATAATAATGTTTGAATGTGTTAATGTTTATCCCTCCTTTCCCTGATATTATGTAATATTATCTTAAAGTCTGGGTTTTGTGTATCAGAGTTCCTCTACATATTGGGAAGGAAAATCTGATATGGAAACTCTGCAGAGAATATATGGAATATCCTTTCCTGATAACAAAATGATGAAGGAATGGGAAAAAATACAGGAAGAAGCTAAAAACCGGGATCATAGGAAAATTGGAAAGGTACAGTATTCCATTGTCTACTTATTTTATGCTTCTGTAATACAATTCATTCTCTTTCCATGTTTTTTAGTTTTGGTTTGGTTTTTTTCCATTTTTGGCAGTTTGAATGAGAGCTAGTTCTGTATGCTTCTTGGTGTTCTTACATTTTGAATTTTTCTTCTACAGACTCAACTTGTCGCTTGCATACGAGTATTAAACTAATGTTGGGAAGAAGTTAATGGGTTTAGTCCCTTGGTTTAGGGAAGTACATCTTAAAACTTTTAGTGTAGAGTCTACCTAAACCACTGTATTTTTTTGTAGAAGAGATAATTTATTTGAAAATTGCATAAATAACACAGTTTGGTCTTTCTTTATTATAGGTATAAATAAGGTTTACACCTTTGCTATAGTTTTGTTGAGAGGGTGGAGCTATAGGGAGGGTATTTGGGAAAAGAAAGAAGCTTTGTGGATATGTAAAGGCACAATGAGCAGTACAGGTGAAAGGAGGGAGACATTTACTGGAAAAACTGTTGTGTAAATGAAGGTCAGCATTGTTGGACAGGAGGATGGAGGCATTAACCTCTTGCTGCTCACTGGGAGACATGAAAAAAGAGACTGTGGAGGGCCTTCACAAGCAGAGGGTGAACAACTGAGGTAACTCAGAAAAGGAAGAGACAATGAGAAATTTACAGAAAACAATAACAAAAATTTTTTAAAAGTAGGAAAATGGTCTTTATGGAAGAGATGATGTTTATTTCTATTAACTTATTAAGACTTGAATATTTCTGTAATATTTGTTTGATTGCTTCTATGCCTCTTCATAAACAAATGATCTAATTTCAATCAATCAGAGAGATTCTTCCCCCAGAGGGTGGTTGGGCACTGAACAGGCTCCCCAGGGCAGTGGGCACAGCACCAAGGCTGACAGAGCTCAAGGAACATTTGGATGATACTCTGAGGCACCTGGTGTGACTCTTGGGGATGGGCCTGTGCAGGGCCTGGAGTTGGACTCGATGATCCTTGTGGGTCCCCTCCAACTCGGCATATCCCATGAATTTATCTAGTGTTTATGAATCTAGGATCTATGATATTGAAGTGGGTAAAGCTCTCAGAAGATGTATCAGAGCCACACTGCTGAGCTTCTCCTTTTTGGAGTCAAAATGCTGATAAGAAGTGGCTCACAAGCTTCAGCCATTATCCCTCATGTGTGATGGATATCTGCTTAATTGCTTTACTGAAGCAATTAAGGTTAATAAAGGTAAGATTAGATAAGACTTTAGGATTTTGGGGAAATGTGTTTTTACGTAGTCAAAGAATCAAATGGAATTCAGTGTTATTACAAACTTCTAAGAGTAAGAACTGCAGACCAATTAACTGCTGTTGCTGAGAACTTGTAGACTTACATAAATCATCTTGTTTCTGTAATGTTTCATCTTTGTGAACAGTGTCTCAATGTGTGTGAGGTAGTTATGTTCTGCAGTTCTATCTGAATTGTTGTTAGAGCAATCTGGTTTTAATTTACCTAGGAGCAAGAACTCTTCTTCTTTCATGATTTGAGTCCTGGAAGCTGCTTTTTCCTCCCCAGAGGTGCCTTTCTTTATAACACACTCATGGATTTCATACGGGTGAGTATATGGTGATGTAACTTTTAAGAAGTTTAATATCAGTTGTCAGTCTTAAATTGACATTCATAGCGCTGAACTATCCACAGAAAAATAAGTATCTATGTATATAAATATTTACCAGATTTTCAGTATGATTATACAGATCTAACCTTTTTTGAAAATAGTGCAGAGTGAAGCTGTGCTTTTCCAGTTGTGCAGAACTTACAGCAGTCCTTTAGTCTCTCTGTAAATTACCATCATAATAACACAGTTTAAAAGAATCAAGCTTTGGCCTGTCAAAAGCTCTGTAACCTTTTAAATGGTGAATTCGTTCTACAGGGGGAATATCACAGGCGTAATTTTACTGAAGTTGTGTCTCCAAACATCTTCAACAGTAAACTCTGGGAAGCTTCAGGACACTGGCAGCACTACAGTGAAAACATGTTCTCTTTTGAGATCGAGAAGGAAACTTTTGCCCTTAAACCCATGAATTGTCCTGGACATTGGTTTGTACTCTTAACTGGAAAACTTCTAATTTTCCTTCATTTATCCTTTGTGGGGCTGAGGAGAATAAATGGAGTATTAATACATGTTGTCATGTATGTTCACAACAGACTACTAAGCCAACTGGGTGTGTTGAGGGGGCTTCTCTGACAGTGTCCCAGAAGTAAGTCTGCCCTAAGTGAGCTGGGTTTGTGCATTCTAATACTAGTCTGTACCACTAGTGAGTACAAATTGTTTTGGGTAGAGATAGGCATCAAGATGTGCTGTACCAAGAAGGTACAGATGAACCAGTGTTGATTAACTCTTGCAGTGTTTTTTTTTTTTTTCTAGGTGATCTTCAGCAGTACATTCTGAGTGAAGCATTTTTCTGTTTGCCTGTCTTTTAGGGTGCAAACAACCTGAATGAATAAATGCTTAAAAATGTGATTACTGTCTGTATTGATCTTGGTTTATTTCTGTGTTGTCTTAAATCTCCTGTAAGAAGGATAAAAGGAAGGCTGTTTCATGTTCCTTCTAGCTTGATGTTTGCCCACCGTCCACGATCCTGGAGGGAATTGCCTCTTAGACTTGCAGATTTTGGAGTTCTGCACCGAAACGAGCTCTCTGGGACTTTAAGTGGCTTGACTCGTGTACGGCGCTTCCAGCAGGATGATGCTCACATCTTTTGCACAATGGAACAGGTAAAGAAAAAGACAACTCCAAAATACCAAGCACCTCCCACACCCCCACAAGTCAAAAAAACCCCAAACAAACCCTTTCTTCTCCCAGTGCAAACAGTAAACAAGTAAACAGGAAGAAGTCCCTGAAGCTTCTTTCATTGTATCGCTGTATAGCACAAGGGTGCTTTTGGTGGTTTCTTTTGGTAGGTTTAGGTGCTTCCTTCTTAGATATTTGGTATTCCGTATTTCTCAACTCTGCAATATTGCTGAACTCAATAGCCTCTTGGACTTGGCTACTTTGTTGCAAGTTTCTCAAATAATAATGCTGTACTCAGTTTTTTACATTATTTTTATTTTTTTCTTTAAAGTTACAAAATGCTCATATCAAAAGCAGAAAATAGTATTATCTGAGCGATCTTATTGTTTGTGAATTATGTAGTTAGATTTTCTGTATGGGATTTTCCCATTTAGAAAGATGCATTGGGCAACTAAATCCCAAAAAGTAAGATTTTTTTTTTTTTCATCTTCCATCTGCCCCTGAAAAGAAAAAAGCTGTTGACCATGTTTTGTTTTCTATAGTAATATTGAACAAATACTTTGTTTTGTCAGTAATGCCATAGATTTCAGTGGAGCTACAGGTATAAATTGATGTGCTCTTGTCCATTCTGTTGGGTGTAATTTGGCTCCAGAAGTCCAAGCTTAACAAAAATATTACTTTTCTTGCTATGGTTTGAAGCCACAACACCTTAGTTCTCTCTTCACCTGTTACCTCAATTTGGGTTTGTAGGATGTGGGTTTTAATTTTTTCTTATTTAATGGACTCTCTTATTCTGGTTGTGATGAATTCAATAGTTTCAATTACATTTTTATGTAAGTAACTTTTAACTAATATATTTTGTTTTGTGTTTAAGATTGAAGAAGAAATTGAGGGCTGTCTTGATTTCTTGAAGTCAGTATATGCTGTCTTTGGTTTTACTTTTCAACTACATCTTTCTACAAGACCTGAAAATTATCTTGGAGAGTTAGAGATCTGGGATCATGCAGAAAAGGTAATTCCTTTAAAAGCAAACAAACAAAGCAACCCCTTAATATTTGTATTTGCAGAGGTAGATATTTACATGAGTTCCTTCATGTTGAATAGTGAAATTGCTTACCTCAGAACCTAAATATTGTCCTTAGTGGAAATGCCTGATGAAAAATATCACATTAAATCTAAAGTTACTGTATAAAAATGAGAACTTTCAGATTCTTACTTAGCCCCTTATCTTAAACTGGTTAGATTTCTGTTTTTTTTTTTCTGATTAATCACCTAGTGTACAAGGAACTACTATTCCAAGGTTACTTGTCATAAATGAACAAATGCTTGAGCAATAGGGGTTGTGCTGCCTGTTGGCTGCCTTTGAATTTTAAAGGCAAATGCTTTGACTTCCAGTAATGAGGGACCCTGCTATACCTTTTTTAATTACTCTCTCACTTTTTTTGATTAGCAACTTCAAAACAGCTTGAATAAATTTGGAGAGCAATGGCTTTTGAATCCAGGAGATGGAGCATTTTATGGTCCTAAGGTCAGTGATTCAGCGTTTTAATATGACTTCGGGGTAGACAAGAATGCAGACATACTGCAGGCAAACTATATTTAGTAACTGTGTTATTTTGCTTCACAGATTGATATTAAAATCAAAGATGCAATTGGGAGGTACCATCAATGTGCTACCATCCAACTTGACTTCCAGCTGCCCATTCGATTTAATCTTACTTATGTTGGGTGAGTGGTTAAGCTGAATAGCTTCCTCTTTTAAATGAAATAACGAATAAAAATAATCATAAATGCTTTCATTATCTGTAATTCCCATTATGTATTAATGCTGTGCTGCTCATTTAACAAATGATTAGCCTGGCAAGGAGAGTCACAAGCTTGAAGATATTTCCTCAAGGTAACGATAGCTCACTTTAGTTGAGGTGCTACTGAGTGCAGGAAAATCTCACCAGCTGTCTTGTCTGCCAGTTCTGAAGACAACTGATCGTATATAATGCTAAAATAACCTCAGCTGAGTCACTTTTCACTTTCAGCCCAGTCATAGTGTCTCCTTGGAAGACATACCATACAAATTCAAACATGCCTTAAGGAACTGCTATGTTTGTACTAAGTACTTCTTTGTTTTTATTGGGTAAAACTAGTTAACTTTGAACATAAACCAAACACAAACAGTTTTTAGTGAAAATCTCACTTTGGCTTCCAGCTAGAAAGATGGATTTTTATCCACTGAGCAGATTAATCTTAATATCATGTTAACTTTAATACACGTTTTCTGGGTTGTTTTTCTTGTAGTGTTTGCTTTTTGCATATTATCAAGATATCGATAGGGAAGACAGAATAAGAATCTTTGTTACTTTTTGGTCCTGCTGCATGTTCTGCAGTAGATGCCATAGATTTTTAGTAGGTGGTGGTACTGTTGCAAGCAACTGGCTTTTTTTTATCACAGTATTGTAATTTAAGCAAAGTAGTGAACAGGTGAGGTTCAGAAGGGCAGGTAAGGCCCTGTGCAACAAAATAAAAGCAAGTCATAGTGGAAGAGGGAGAACAAGGAAGAACATAAAATATTAAAATGCACAGAAATGGTGCTGAGTCAGTCGAGTGTCTTTTCAAATTTAAGGGTTAGTGTCTGTGCCACTGGCCATAGGCATGATTATTTTAAGTCACTATGATTATTCAATATTCCTTTAAAAGCCTAGATGACTTAAAGGACATTTTAATAAAAAGAGTAGATTTTGCCTAAGTATAACTAACTAAATTTTGTCTTTCTGTTAAAAGTAGAATCAAAAACGTGTGTGAGCTAAGACAATTTCAATTTTTTTTGAAATTTTACTTGCCTTTTTTTTTTCCCAGTAAGGATGGTGATGATAAGAAAAGGCCAGTGATTATTCACAGAGCTATTTTGGGATCTGTGGAGAGGATGATAGCAATTCTAGCAGAAAATTATGGAGGAAAATGGTATGTAGCACAAATGGACTTCTAAGAAGTGTTTAATAATGTAGAAAGTGCAGATCCTTCCTGATGTCCCATATATTATAATGGAAAAATAATATCCCTAGAATTTTCTCCAAATTAGTAGGTAAGATTACAAGAAAATAAGTCCAGTTTTCTGGTCTGAGTTGTAACTAGTTTGTTATTAGAAATTCAGTTTCATGAGACTGCAGAAAAAAAGCAGAGTAATGCAGAAATAAGAATTGTAATTGAATGTGTAAGTCCTACATTATTTTTGTTCCTTTTTTTCCTAGAAATCATGCTTTTGTACTGGGAAGATGTCAGACATATGTAAAGCATTTATTTGTATATATACAGACATGAATTAGTCCTAATATATGAAATATTTTTTGTACTTCTGAGATGGGTTGGTTTATCTTGAATAAGCTCTGAAGGTATTTTTTCATGAATATGTTTAAAGTATTAAGGAATAGTTAATTCTTAGTTTCAATCACTTATCTCTCTCACTGTCCACTTTTGACTGTAAAGTTATAAACAAAAATGAAAATTATGTGAAAAAAATTCTGTTTAAAAATGTGAAGTCAGCTAGGAAGAGAACAGAAAGTCCAGGTTCTGCATTTGTCATTTTACTGGAATCAATCCATTTGCTATTTCACGTGAACTTGAAAACACGAAGGTAACATACTATCCAACCTAGCCAACATAAAGATTTCTATAAAGAGAAGAAATTATTATTGTGGAACACAGCTGTGGTTATGAATGCAAGTGTCAAGTGCACATTTATCCCACGTGTCCCTCATGCTCTCCAGGCCCCTCTGGTTGTCCCCACGGCAGGTCATGGTGGTGCCCGTGGGACCGACATCGGAAGAGTATGCCCAGCAGGTGAGAGCAGGGCAATTCTAATGGATCCTCAGGGACTTGTTCCAGAACAGAGAATGAATGCTTTAATGATTTTGAAGACTTATTTGGGGGGGGGGGGAGAAGTAAATTTTTCAATGTACAATTTCCAGTCTAAAACTTGTGTAAGCCTGAGTAAGGGGTATGTAGCTTTAAGTGGTTTGAGTTCTGTTATTATGGACATAATTATTAAAGGAAAAAACATTCTGGATGACAACTAATGCTTCATTACACTGCTATCAGCTTAAAGTAGGGAGAGAGACAGTTTCATCCATTTCCCACCATGTATATTCTTGACTACATCACTTTTGACCATGGTGGGTTTTACCCCTCTCCCCTGCTTCTCTTTTAATACAAGAATAAGTGGGTTTGTTCCTTCTGCTTTTTCTACTTTCTCAGACTAAGGACACATTTTTAACACTGAGCAGTGTAGCTGCCTGAGGTAACATCCATATGATATGGATGTTACCTTCCAATTGTAGTCCTGCTAAGCCCTTAAGTGTGTATTCAGTTTTCTTCAGATAAAGTCACTGAATTCCTTGCACTGATTCATAAGAGCAAAATTATGCACATACATGAATTAATTATTGGGAGAGATCAGTAATTATAGGATGTACAAATGTATATTTTAAAATATATAGTAATACTGAGAGTGTTTTGGTTTGGTTTTTTTAGGTTTGCAACCAATTTTTTGAAGCTGGATTTATGTCAGATGTGGATCTAGATCAAAGTTGCACATTAAACAAGAAAATTAGAAATGCACAGCTGGCTCAGTATAACTTCATTTTAGGTAGGTAATTGCAGCATCTTGCATTGAATATCACTTAAGTTTTAATGTTAGACATAGAGTTTGTCTAGAGACTCATTTTGTAATGTAAATAGTTTCATATTATGTGCTGTGTCTTGCAGTGGTTGGAGAAAAGGAGAAAGCAAATAATGCTGTCAACGTGCGAACAAGAGACAACAAAGTTCATGGAGAGATTTCAGTATCTTCTGCTATTGAAAAACTCAAGAAACTTAAGAGTTCACATATTCCAAATGCAGAAGAAGAATTCTGATGTTGCTGTTGGGGGAAAAAAAAATATTAGCTGCCTGTGGGAAATATTTCTTGTGCACATCAGTGATGCTCATCTGAGAGAATTTTCAGTTAATGGATACACAAAATAAGCCAGTGTAGCAATGTTGGTGCTCCAGGAAAAGCATGAGAGGACAGATGCACCTGCCAGCTCCTTTAGCAATCACATGGGTTTCCAATCTGCCTGAGTCAGAGAATGCTTGCTCAAAAAGTCCTGCGCCTGTAATAAGATATGTTGGGTTTGCTGTGGAAGTAAATCAGGGCTGCACGACCCCCAGGAACAGGAGGCTGGGAAGGGCAGTGGCTGCTGTGGGAATGCTGAGCTCCCTCCCTCACAGGGCAGGTGCATACCTGTGTTACAGAATCCAGAGCTTGGCGGTCAGTTGGTGCCTGAGGAGCAGTTGGGTTTAGTTTTTTTCTAGCTCTAGATTGTAACAAAAAACTTTTGTGGGGGGAATAGCTTGGTTGTTTCAGAATCTGGTCACAGACTACAAATACTTTCGTGTCTTTGGAAGTCTCAGTGAAACAAGGCACTGATGGAGTTGGTGTGATAACTGGTTGCTGCAAAGGTGGTTGCCAAGAATGCAGTTGAATTACTCCCCATATCTCTGTGTCAAGTGTTTTATTTTTTCCTGTGTTTGCTGTTGATTTGGCTTTCTCCTAAAACAAAAAAACTTCGAAAAACCTTTCTGTGTGTAATTTATTGTTGTGTTTGCTGGGGATACTGAGGGCACTGAGAAGGAGCAGAGGACAATTCTAATATTAAAACAGCATGTTGGAATTTAAATTTGCTATATTTCTGTTTTGTTTATGCTTATAAATGATTTTTAAAGTTGCCATTGCAGGCAATTGAACTGGATTTTTTCTGAGATTTTTACCATGATTTCTTTTCACTTTCATATGCTGTTTCCTAGTTGAATGGCTTAGACAGTGTTAAATGTGTTGCTCAGTTATCTAAGCTATACAGCTGTGATTTAAATAGTTGTGATTTAAATGCCACAGCCATAAAGCAGAAAATACTATTTAGTGCATAAATGTTACACAGATGCAAAGCTTGTGTTTTACTTCTGCCTGACACTTGTACAGACTTGTGTTTAATAGGCCTTTGTTTAGTTTGGTATTTGGTTGGGTTTGTGCATCTCTTTTTATCTCCTGCTTTTAGAAGAAAAGGGAAAAAAAAAGAAGGAACGAGTGGTGGGAAAGCTTTGCGTTCCACTCAACGGTGTGTGGAGCATGATTTTTATTTGTCTTTCTATATTTTATGTATAAAATCGTTTGGACTAGAGCTTATGTGATGCATGTGTGATATATTCAGACTGCAGAATTCAACTACTGAGTTTGTTTTTCTTACAGTGAATTTCTAGGTTTTGCAAGTATCAAACTTTTTTAGCACACATGTAGCTCTTGGCATTTCAGTTTTCATGTGACCTGCAGCAAGGAGAGAGGTCAGGGAACTACACAGAATGACAGAATAGTTTGGGTTGGAAGGGACTTCTGGAGATCAGCCAGTCCGACCGCCCTGCCAAGGCAGGGTCACCTGGAGCAGGTGACACAGGAACGTCCAGGTGGGTTTGGAGTGTCTCCAGAGAGGGAACCTCCACGCCCTCCCTGGGCAGCTGTTCCAGTGCTCTGCCACCCTGAACATAAAGAAGTTCTTCCTCATGTTGAGGTAGAACTCCTTGTGTTTTAGTTTACAGCCCTTGCTCCTTGTCCTGTCACCCAAAACAGTCTGGCACCTTCCTCTTGGCACCCGCCTTTGAGGTACTTATATGTATTGATGAGATCAAATTGATATCAGTAAAAATAATGTAAAGTTTCCTACAGGGAGCAATACGTAGCGAGAAGGGCAGAGGGCCGAAAGGTGGCCTGAGGGGCAGAGGCCGTGCCCGCGGTCACCGCGGTCGGGCTGTGCCGGCCCCGCCCCTCCCGGCGGCTGTGAGGGCCCCGCCCCCCGCGGGCCCGGCAGGCGGAGTCAAGATGGCGGCGCTGTGGGTGCTGCGCGCCCTGCGCGGTGTCTGCGGGGCCGCGCTGTTCCTGTCCCAGCTCTCCGTCCTCTCCGGCCGCGGTGAGCAGGGCGGGTGGGGGGCGAGAAAGGGGCAGGGGAGCCGCCTCGGGCCTGGGGGCTGCTGTCCTGAGCGGCCGCGGCCAGGGCTGAGCCCGCCCGGCGGGTCCCGCTGCGGAGGTGAGCGCGGTGCGGGGAGGATGCGCTGCCGCTTCCCTGGCTGGGGGAAGGAACCGGGTGCTTCGGGCGTGGACGCGTTTCGCTGTGCCGGCGCTGCGGGGCTGGGGCTGAGGTGCTCGGTGTTAGGGCAGAACACGGGCCAGGCCCCGCTCGCCGGCTCGTCCACTGCTCTGTTACACAGCACCTTTTGTGCTGCGCCTTGTCGGGAATGTGTGTGAACCAAAACGTACCTGGCGAGGTCCTGGGGCTTCTGAGCACTGTCAGGGTGGGTGGGTCGGTGTGACAAACCTCTTCACCCTTCCTTCCCTTGTGAGGGCTCGTGGTGGCCCATTGCAGCTCTGCACGGCCCCGAGCCCTCGCAGCCGCGGGGGTCTCACGGACCAGAGCGCAGTCAATGCACAGATGCCGCCGGGGTTGCCGGCCAGTTCTTCTGTTCCAGCTGCCAAAGAATTACCTGCATGGCTTCACTAAACTAAAATCTGCTTTCTGAGCAGTGCTTTTACTTCTCATGGATCAAAAAATAAGACCGAATGAAAATAAATGTAGTTCCTTGTCTAAAAGGAACGGTTCTGTTCTAATGCTCATTTTAATGTTTAACATGAACATCTCACTATTAAGAGAACAGGAAAGCAGAGTTTTCTAATTCCTTACACTTTCCACTTCTATTTTCATATCAGTGTGCTGAAATCAAACTGTTTCTGAAGGTTAATTTTATTCTAGAAATATCACTTTCTCCATGTTTTTTTCTTCTAGCGGGATCTTTGATGACAACAAAGCTTTCACAGCCACAGTCTACACTGGCAAAAAGCCTAACTTCAACAAGTACAAATACTCCCTATTTTAAAGCAGCAGGTATGGTATTATATTGTCTCTTTTCTTTGTTGTCTGTGAGCCCTTCTCCTCAGTGCCTTGAGTCTTAGAAACCTGTATGTGCTTTTCATAGCGGTAAGAAGCATTGTATATAACACATTATGAATTACTCTTCAGTGGCCATAACAATTAGTTTCTAATTAGACAAGTGGCCCATATAAGAACTAGAAAATGGCTGGTTAAACTGCCATTGTGGTTGATGTGATTTATACCCTGTCAGGATGGTGGAAGTTCTTGAAAGACTCCAGCATTCTGCAAGAACTTTTTCCTGTTCCCTATCCACCATCAGCCCAGCTCTGCAGCTCCCTGGGGGTGTGTCAGAACTGCCAGCAAGAACAGCATTTCAGTCAGTCTCAGAGGTGATTCTGTGCACATGCAAACAGCAAATGGCTGAGTGAGCTGTAACCTTAATTAGAGCTGAACTAAAAGTAGGTTACCCGTGTCACCCTGCTGCTGTGCTAAAGTGATTACTTCTGAGAAGTGCAGGCTGAGGCGGCACTAATCCACGTAAGCTCTGTTCTGGTTCTCTGCTGAAGTGTTGCCGTGGTGTCTTCTGTGGAGCTTCTGTGTGAGAGTCCTTGGTGGGTGCCCTTCTTGCACTGTGTGGCTCCCCTGGCTGGGAATGCTGCTCAGTGTGTAGTGAGGAAAGCCCTTTATACCACATCAGTGCCTGTGTTTATATATGTATATATATATATATAAAAAAATGCTATATATACTTTAGACTATTTAGCTTTTTAATTCAGTTTCTTAATTCACTTATTGCCCCTTTCAGAAAGCACAGAAATTCCACCTTACATGATTAAATGTCCCAGCAACGGGCTTTGCAGTAGATTGCCACCAGACTGCATGACATGCAACACAAACCACTCCTGTATATATGGGAAGCTGGCCACTTTTGATTGCAAGGTCAAGCCACATGTTCATTGTGTTGTAAGTAACCTGTTATTTTTAACCCTAAATTTAAGTAATTATCTGTGTCATCTTGTTTTAAAATCCAGAACACTGATTTCCAGGTTCTGATGCAGGCAGGTTTGCAGTTCTGTGATATGTTTGATCACCACTGTAGGCTGTTGCTGAAGAGGCAAGTCTGCCCTTCCCTGGTTTGCCTTTCTTGTGTTGGATCTTTTCCTTACTTGGCCATGCCATTGAGTTGAACCAGTCAAACCATTTTGAGAGTGGGGAGACTAAAATATCTGTCAGAGCTACAAACTGATCTTACAGGTTAGACTGAATGAGTCCTCTTTTTGGCAGTAGCCTTAGATTGGAGGAATCAGGAATGTTAACCTTGACTTTAATAACTCTGTTGGTTTTCTGATATTGATTTTTCTGATACACTTGACTACATAAGAAGTAGCAGAGCAGTTTTGCCCAAAATGTACTTTGATACTGCACACTGATTTTGTTTTCAATACTATGGAAGTGATAATGCTGTCTTTTCACAGGATGAGAATAACCACGAGCAGGAGAACTTCACAATTAACATGACGTGCCAGTTTTGCTGGCAGCTTGCCCCAAGTGACTATGTCTGCACCAACTCCACCAACTGCATGACAGTCTCCTGCCCACGGCAGCGATACAATGCCACTTGTACAGTCCGGGATCACATCCATTGCCTGGGTAAGGTGGGCTAAGCCAGATTCTGCAAAGCAGCTTTTTTCTAGAGTATTTCTTAACGGTTTTTGTAATGGATGAATACAATGTTTATGTCCATTGCAGTAACAGTCTGCACCCTGATTAATCTGTTGAATTTTTTTTTATTGTTATGTTTTCATTTTCGAGCATAACAGTGACATGTAACTGCAAACATTGTCTCATGCTGTTGTATACTGGCACACAAGACAAAATAGTTCTTTTTACTTCTGTCAACTTGTACCAGTTAAACTTATTTGGACACCACTAAAAGAATTGATATCAAATGTCTCAGTAGGGTAATTAAAAGAATTTATGCTGGTTCCACCCAACTAGTTTAATTTTTTTCCCTATTTGTTCAGTGGCTTTTCTGATTGATGGAACTGGGAACTGTAGGGTATATATTGTGTTGACAGTTGTTTTTTCAGTTAGTGTCAACCCTTTTAGACCCCTGATGAATAAATGCAGTGTCTTCTTGCTTGTTGTTTTCTTACTCATTATATGGTCTTTGTTTATTACATTAAGGTTTTTATGTTTTCTAATGTTTAGGTAACCGTGTCTTTCCTAAGATGCTCTATTGCAATTGGACTGGAGGTTATAAGTGGTCTACTGCCTTGGCACTAAGGTACACAAGAACTATTAGATAATTTCAAGCTAAAATAGATTAGTTGTCTATAAAATCTTCAATTTGTGTGGCTTTCTGCTTGGTATTTTTTAACAGTGCACTGAATAACCAGTATTTCAGATAGTCTTGGAATAGCTTGGAATGTGGGGGCATATCGTGCCTGAAGGTTTCAGATGCAACAGTCCTGGCTCCCTTCAGCAAACAGAGCTGGAGAGAAAACAGTTACCCTATTTCTACTTTAAATGTACTTCCTTCAGACTAAATGCCAATGATTCTTAGGCTTCACAGAGTGATCCATTTTCTGAGTAGAGAGGACATGTTGGCTTTTATTTGTGTGGTGATATCTGCAGATTTTTATTTTTTTCTTACATTTTTTTCTATATTTTTAAACAACGAGGGCTGGGAATTGCTCACATTACTACTTGGCATTTGAAATGAATGGAGCTGTTTCTGAATTTGATAGGTGTCACTGAGCTGGCTGCAGTTTGTAGACATTTGTTACGGGTTCCTTCCCAGCTCTTACAGCTGGAAATGCCTCAAGACCAAGTTCCTTGCATTTCCAATTGTTAGGGAAGAGACCAGGGAAGCAATATTGAAACAAACAGTAAAGGCTAGTTTTGGAATGAGTCATTAGAGCACCACAACAGCAGTTTGAAAGTAACTGAAGTGCTTTTGGTGGTGAGACCTTTTTTCACTAAATGTTAATATTTCAGAAGTGGTAAATATGATAAATTAGGTAGGGACACTGTTCCTGGAGCCAAAGATACAGTACATCTGTGATTAAGGAAATTATCTGACATACCTCCCTTTAGAGCAAGAGTTGTTCTCACTGCCATCAGCTGGAGAAACTTACTGTTGCCTG